GTATATATTTCTGCCTTTCAGCACTGTTTCCCCATATGACCTCTAGCGACAGAACTTAAAAGAACAACACGTAGACTACATCCTAAATGGCACCCTATTTCCTATACGTAGACTACAAGAAGCTTAATCAAATCAAATCCAATTTTATTTGTCACATGCTTCATAAACAGCAGGTGTAGAATAACAGTGAAATGCTTACTTACAGTCAATTTCCAACAATGCAGAGATAAAGATTTTTTTTAAAAAGGACATAGTGACACGAGAAGTAACTACACAGTGAATAACGAATAACAATAACGAGTAAAAAATAACATGGCTATATACAGGGAGTATGAGTACCGAGTCGATGTGTAGGGGTATGAGGTAATTGAGGTAGCTACAGGTAGGGGTAAAGTGACTAGACAACAGGATAAAATACAGTAGCAGCGGTGTATGTGGTGAGTGTGAAAGTCTGTGTGTGTGTGAGAGAGAGAGAGAGTGTGTGTGTAGCGTTAGTATGCATGTGTGCGCGTGTTATGTGTGTGGGGGCGTGTGTGTGTAAGGGTTTCAGTGTGAGTGTGTAGGTAGAGTCCAGTGTGTATGCAGAGAGTTAGTGCAAAAAAGGGTCAATGCAGGTAGTATGGGTAGCCATTTGATGAGCTATTTAGAGGTCTTGCTTAGCAGTCTCATGGCTATGGTGTAGAAGCTGTTCAGGGTCCTGTTGGTTCCAGACTTGATGCACTGGTACCGCTTGCCGTGCGGTAGCAGAGAAAACAGTCTATGGCTTGGTTGGCTGGAGTCTTTGACAATTTATTTGGCCTTCCTCTCACACTGCCTGGTATAGAGGTCCTGGATGGCAGGGAGCTCGGCCTCAGTGATGTACTGGGCCGTACTCACCACCCTCTGTAGCGTCTTGCGGTCGGGTGCCTTGCAGTTGCCATACCAAGCGGTGATGCAGCCAGTCAAGATCCTCTCAATGGTGCAGCTGTATAACCTTTTGAGGATCTGAGGGCCCATGCCAAATAATTTCATCCTCCTGAGGTGGAATAAGTGCTGTAGTGCCCTCTTCACAACTGTGTGTGTGGACCATTAATTAATTCCTTAGTGATGTGGACACAGAGGAACATCAAGCTCTCGACCTGCTCCACTACAGACCCGTCGATGTTTCATCACAGCAAGAGGAGGGATAGTAACAAGTCAAGCATCCTTCATTGGTGGTGACATCATACAAGGCAGTCAAAGGTTCGTCAGGGGACAGAACATGTTGATACATTTCAAGAAGGGGTCATGCAAAGAAAATGCTATCACAACTTTGACTTAAAGAGCCCTTCGCTGCACTCATGGCTCATACCTCGTTGCTTCTGTCTCTATTTGAAAGGAATTGGGACTGACGGGGTTAGGGTTAGGGGTGTAATGAATGGTTACATACAGTGAGGGAAAAAAGTATTTGATCCCCTGCTGATTTTGTACGTTTGCCCACTGACAAAGAAATGATCAGTCTATAATTTTAATGGTAGGTTTATTTGAACAGTAAGAGACAGAATAACAACAAAAAAATCCAGAAAAATGTTATAAATTGATTTGCATTTTAATGAGGGAAATAAGTATTTGACCCCCTCTCAATCAGAAAGATTTCTGGCTCCCAGGTGTCTTTTATACAGGTAACGAGCTGAGATTAGGAGCACACTCTTAAAGAGAGTGCTCCTAATCTCAGTTTGTTACCTGTATAAAAGACACCTGTCCACAGAAGCAATCAATCAATCATATTCCAAACTCTCCACCATGGCCAAGACCAAAGAGCTCTCCAAGGATGTCAGGGACAAGATTGTAGACCTACACAAGGCTGGAATGGGCTACAAGACCATCGCCAAGCAGCTTGGTGAGAAGGTGACAACAGTTGGTGCGATTATTCGCAAATGGAAGAAACACAAAAGAACTGTCAATCTCCCTTGGCCTGGGGCTCCATGCAAGATCTCACCTCGTGGAGTTGCAATGATCATGAGAACGGTGAGGAATCAGCCCAGAACTACACGGGATGATCTTGTCAATGATCTCAAGACAGCTGGGACCATAGTCCCCAAGAAAACAATTGGTAACACACTACGCCGTGAAGGACTGAAATCCTGCAGTGCCCGCAAGGTCCCCCTGCTCAAGAAAGCACATATACAGGCCCGTCTGAAGTTTGCCCATGAACATCTAAATGATTCAGAGGAGAACTGGGTGAAAGTGTTGTGGTCAGATGAGACCAAAATTGAGCTCTTTGGCATCAACTCAACTCGCCGTGTTTGGAGGAGGAGGCCTATGACCCCAAGAACACCATCCCCACCGTCAAACATGGAGGTGGAAACATTATGCTTTGGGGTGTTTTTCTGCTAAGGGGACAGGACAACTTCACAGCATTCAAAGGGACGATGGACGGGGCCATGTACCGTCAAATCTTGGGTGAGAACCTCCTTCCCTCAGCCAGGGCATTGAAAATGGGTCTTGGATGGGTATTCCAGCATGACAATGACCCAAAACACACGGCCAAGGCAACAAACAAGTGGCTCAAGAAGAATCACATTAAGGTCCTGAAGTGGCCTAGTCAGTCTCCAGACCTTAATCCCATAGAAAATCTGTGGAGGGAGCTGTAGGTTCGAGTTGCCAAACGTCAGCCTCGAAACCTTAATGACTTGGAGAAGATCTGCAAAGAGGAGTGGGACAAAATCCCTCCTGAGATGTGTGCAAACCTGGTGGCCAACTACAAGAAGCGTCTGACCTCTGTGATTGCCAACAAGGGTTTTGCCACCAAGTACTAAGTCATGTTTTGCAGAGGGGTCAAATATTTATTTCCCTCATTAAAATGCAAATCAATTTGTAACATTTTTGACATGCGTTTTTCTGGATTTTTTTGTTGTTATTCTGTCTCTCACTGTTCAAATAAACTTACCATTAAAATGATAGATTGATCATTTGATTGTCAGTGGGCAAACGTAAAAAATCAGCAGGGGATCAAATACTTTTTTCCCCTCACTGTATTGCTTGAATACAAGGATTCTGAATGATGAAACTAGTAAACAGCAGCTATATGGAGTACAGTCAGAATAGTATAAGAGATAAATAGGCGAAGTAGAGGCTGTATTTGGATAATAATACTTTGATAACAACACAATCAAAGTGGGATATTCAAGAGATAATTGTGACTTGGCATCCTCACGACTGCTCCCATAAAAGATGAATGGGCGTATTTGCAGCGATGTGTTGAAGGACAGCGGAGAGATTACACATCAAGCATCTATCCTAAAATGTCTCTTATCTATAATCCATATTTAAAACTCTCATCCTGCTACACCTGCTTGGTCATACATTATTAACGCAACGTGTCTCGGTCCAATGAGCTGGTTCCTCTCCTCCACTCTCTCTGCTTCGTCTCTCTCCTTCTCTCTCTCCCAGTCTCTCTCTCTCCCTCCATTTAATCCATTGGTAAATTACGTTTCTAAATGGGAAACGTAATTACACCACGTTTTTGAGCATTTTGAATAATAAATTATGATAAAATTAGTGCCATTATATTCCTTATTTTTATGAATTATGAAGGGTTCTGTGATATTTTTAAATGGAAAAAAAATAGTTAATGTCTGAATAGCTCTATGCTTCAGTAGGCCTTTAACAAGGGCACTATGATGGATTTGTGTAATAAAATGCTTTAACCAAAGGAGTCTTCAAACATCCTCAACCTTCTCTCATTTCCCCTTATCCTCTACTACCCCATTCATATTTCACCGAAATTCACACAGAACAATTTGTGATTAGGCATGTAAATAAAAATGAGAATTCTATATTTCTTTCTCCTTTCTTTCTCTCAGTCATTTACATTTATATTGAATTAGCGGCAGTGGAGAGAGAGTGAGGTGCAGAGGGAAGGAAAGCGGAGTGATTATAATGTGAGATTACAGACAGATTGCACAACCATTATGTTGTGTAATTACATAGGGAGAGAAGAGAAGAAAAGGGCCCTGATACCCAGATGGCAGGATCCATTTCATTTAGAAAAGGTCTCTGCTACCTCTCAACGCTCCTGTAAATATTATATAGACCAAGCAGCCATTTTTATAGGTCACAATTTATGAGAGACAAATATTAAACACAGCATTCAGTGGGATGGATTGTTGGCCCCATTGTATAATTTATGGCTGCATCGTTATCTCAGTTTTATGGGTTAATTTGACTGTATCGATCTCTTGTAATGCATGTACTATTACTCATGAAGCACATAGGGGGGTAATAGAATGAATAAAATAAATATCCGACAGCTTTATATAAGATCATGCTGTCCCTTATGTTCTATATAATGACAATATGGCCAATGCATAGGAACTGCAAAGTCAAAACTAATTAAATGAGTTGGTGTTAAATCCTGTAATAAATGACATGTAGAAATGTGTGAAGGTCTATGACATTTATTATAGCCTAGGTAGGCTATAGCCGATGACAGCATACAAAAATAATTTCGCTTTACTTACTATAAATAATTAAAGTCAATACACTTAGAGAGGCTAAACAAACCAAAGGAAATAGTTAAGCTGGAAAGAAACAAATGCTCACACAAACATAACTTATTGTTGTGTTTTCAACATTTTGTGTAAAAACAGTAGTTCTTGTTTTTTTCTACAGAGATATGTGCAAATGTGTTTCTCATCAATCCTAATTATCTTATTATCCTTTACACTTTATCTACAACATACTGATATAGACACATGATAAACCATTTATCTCTGAAAAAGATTTGACAATGGCTCTACCTATTGACCTAGCTCAGTTACTACCATCTTGTGCTTGTGTCTGTCATTGCCATCTATAAACTTTATTTTCTCTTTTTTCTTTTTGGACAGTATTTATGATAGACTATAATTATTATGAACTGATATGCAATCGTTTTGTAGTTGGAGGCTAAATTGTTATGACTTCTGAAAAATAAGCTTTTTAGGAAAATTAGGCTTTTATTTTGAAAAGAGGTGAGGTGTCACGTCACACAGGAAGTAGTCCTCCACTCCAGGTCAATGTTTATTTACATCAGAGAGGTGAAGTTGAAAGCTAATTTATAACTTCAGCGTCTTGGGCTACAGTTTTTATTTTTCACATTGCACAGGCCTTTGAGTTACTAACATAAGCACAGTTTATATACGTACCTGATTGTGTCGCGAGCCATGAGTGCCATACTCCCTCGTATCGAGCTGCTATCGTCCAGAGTTGTACGAATCCTGGGATGCAACCCTGGTCCAATGACACTACAAGGAACCAATACATATTTAGTTGGAACGGGGAAAAGGTATGAACGGGGAAAAGGTATTTTCGTTTTGTGGAAATGTATTCCACACCTGTGCTATTCGCGCATTTCCCGTCTTGGGCAGCATCGGCACATGCGCGCCTATCCAGGTGCAGTTGAAGGTCTAATGTAGGACAATTGTATTGAGAGAGTGTTATGGATATGGAACTACACAAAAGTATCAAACCGCATCAATGAAATACAGACCATTCTTGTTTTAAGGCGAGTGTTGATAGACACAGGAGAGCCTGCCGTCCCTGAGTACATCAACAGTCTCAAACAAGCCTTGAGCCAGTTCAACACTGCCATCCAGGAGATAATTGTCACCCATTGGCATCACGACCATACAGGTGGAGTGACAGACATCTGCAGGGACATCACTGGAGGTGAGTGACACATGGATGAGTCAACCACAGATTGACAGCTTCAGAAGCCTATTAGGTCTGGTCCAGGGTGTTATGTGCTTTTTGCTGACGCTGACTCCGAAAGCCACACATCCCTTGTCCAGAGCTAGAAGCCTATGTGCTTTTATTTCTCCATGCAGGTTCTGAGTTACAAGTCAGCAAACTCCCTCGCTCTCCCCCAACTGACGAAAGAATAGGACCAAATAAGACGTACACTTACCTGAAACATGGAGACGTCATAGAAACTGAGGGGGCCACACTGAGGTGAGTGTGACGTTACTGTGTAAATAGTGTAGTGCCAGTGTTTTACTTGGGCAGCAGCTCACCGGAGCTGAGTACCGGCACCTCCATTTTTCTACTGCTAGAGCTCCTGCACCTCTTATAGAATGTTAGCTCAAAAGTATTGTGGAGCTCCTGCACCTAAATTTGAACAGTACCGGCACCTATTTCAGTCCAAGTCAAGCACTGTGAAGTGCATAAGCTTTATTATGGCTGTATGTACAGTAAGGGAAAAAAGTATTTGATCCCCTGCTGATTTTGTACGTTTGCCCACTGACAAAGACATGATCAGTCTATAATTTTAATGTTAGGTTTATTTGAACAGTGAGAGACAGAATAACAACAACAAAATCCAGAAAAACACATGTCAAAAATGTTATAAATTGATTTGCATTTTAATGAGGGAAATAAGTATTTGACCCCTCTGCAAAACATTACTTAGTACTTGGTGGCAAAACCCTTGTTGGCAATCACAGAGGTCAGACGTTTCTTGTAGTTGGCCACCAGGTTTGCACACATCTCAGGAGGGATTTTGTTCCACTCCTCTTTGCAGATGTTCTCCAAGTCATTAAGGTTTCGAGGCTGACGTTTGGCAACTCGAACCTTCAGCTCCCTCCACAGATTTTCTATGGGATTAAGGTCTGGAGACTGGCTAGGCCACTCCAGGACCTTAATGTGATTCTTCTTGAGCCACTCCTTTGTTGCCTTGGCCATGTGTTTTGGGTCATTGTCATGCTGGAATACCCATCCACAACCCATTTTCAATGCCCTGGCTGAGGGAAGGAGGTTCTCGCCCAAGATTTGACGGTACATGGCCCCGTCCATCGTCCCTTTGATGCGGTGAAGTTGTCCTGTCCCTTAGCAGAAAAACACCCCCAAAGCATAATGTTTCCACCTCCATGTTTGACGGTGGGGATGGTGTTCTTGGGTTCATAGGCAGCATTCCTCCTCCTCCAAACACGGCGAGTTGAGTTGATGCCAAAGAGCTCGATTTTGGTCTCATCTGACCACAACACTTTCACCCAGTTATCCTCTGAATCATTCAGATGTTCATTGGCAAACTTCAGACGGGCCTGTATATGTGCTTTCTTGAGCAGGGGGACCTTGCGGGCCCTGCAGGATTTCAGTCCTTCACGGCGTAGTGTGTTACCAATTGTTTTCTTGGTGACTATGGTCCCAGCTGCCTTGAGATCATTGACAAGATCCTACCGTGTAGTTCTGGGCTGATTCCTCACCGTTCTCATGATCATTGCAACTCCACGAGGTGAGATCTTGCATGGAGCCCCAGGCCGAGGGAGATTGACAGTTATTTTGTGTTTCTTCCATTTGCGAATAATCACACCAACTGTTGTCACCTTCTCACCAAGCTGCTTGGCGATGGTCTTGTAGCCCATTCCAGCCTTGTGTAGGTCTACAATCTTGTCCCTGACATCCTTGTAGAGCTCTTTGGTCTTGGCCATGGTGGAGAGTTTGGAATCTGATTGATTGATTGCTTCTGTGGACAGGTGTCTTTTATACAGGTAACAAGCTGAGATTAGGAGCACTCCCTTTAAGAGTGTGCTCCTAATCTCAGCTCATTACCTGTATAAAAGACACCTGGGAGCCAGAAATCTTTCTGATTGAGAGAGGGTCAAATACTTATTTCCATCATTAAAATGCAAATCAATTTATAACATTTTTGACATGCGTTTTTCTGGATTTTGTTATTCTGTCTCTCACTGTTCAAATAAACCTACCATTAAAATTATAGACTGATCATTTCTTTGTCAGTGGGCAAACGTACAAAATCAGCAGGGGATCAAATACTTTTTTCCCTCACTGTAAGTATGTGTGTGTGTGTGTGTGTGTGCGCGCGCTCGCAGAGTCCTGTTCACCCCAGGACACACAGATGACCACATGGCCCTTGTTTTGGAAGAAGAGAAGGCCATCTTCTCAGGAGACTGTATTTTGGGGGAGGGAACGGCCTTGTTTGAAGATCTCTATGACTATATGAAATCTCTGCAAATCCTGCTGGACTCACAAGCTGACCTAATATACCCAGGTTTGTTATTGAGCTCTAAAACACATTGCATCCCGAATGGCACCCTATTCCCTATTTAGTGCACTACTTTTGTCCATAGGACCTGGTCAAAAGTAGTGCACTAAATAGTGAATAGGGTGTCATTAAAGCAGACAGTGTGTCATTAAATGCACAGTGGACAAAAATGAATGGATGTCTGAAGAAACATGACATCATGATTTGAGAGGCTCTATTCTTCAGATTACTAGTTGACATTTACTACTGTAGTTCATATTTCAGCTATGCATAGGACTTGATACAAAAACATCTACATTACTTTCTTCCCAAACTCATTTCTTTAGGTCACGGCCCTGTGGTCCAAGACGCTGGTTCTAAGATCCAGCATTACATCAGCCATAGAAACCTCAGAGAGCAACAGATCCTCAGTGTCCTCCAGGCAGCCGGAGGGAACACATTTTCATCTATGGAACTGGTCAAAGTCGTCTACAAGGTATGTACAGTCAGGTCCATAAGTATTTGGACAGTGACACAATATGCATAATTTTGGCTCTGTACGTCATCACAATGGATTTGAAAGGAAACAATCAAGATGTGCTTTAAGTGTAGACTTTCATCTTTAATTTAAGAGTTTTGTCAAAATTATTGTATGAACCGTGTAGGAATTACAACCATTTTTATACATAGCCCACCAATTTTAGGGGCTCAAAAGTAATTGGACAATCTAGCATAATCATAAATTAAATTGTGAGTTTTAATACTTGGTTGCAAATCCTTTGCAGTCAATGACTGCCTGAAGTCTGGAACCCATAGACATCACCAGATGCTGGGTTTCTTCCCTGGTGATGCTCTGCCAGGCCTTTACTGCAGCTGTCTTCAGTTCCTGCTTGTTCTTGGGGTGTTTTGCCTTCAGTTTTGCCTTCAGCAAGTGAAATGCATGCTCAATTGGATTCAGGTCAGGTGATTGACTTGGCCATTGCAGAACATTCCACTTCTTTGCCTTAAAAAAGGATTTGGTTGCTTTCGCAGTATGCTTCGGGTCATTATCCATCTGCTCTGTGAAGTGCCGTCCGATGAGTTTTGAAGTATTTGGCTGAATCTGAGCAGATAATATAGCCCTAAACACTTCAGAATTCATCCTGCTGCTTTTGTCAGCAGTCAAATCATCAATAAATACAAGGGAACCCGTTCCATTGGCAGCCATACATGCCCACGCCATAACACTACCTCCACCATGCTTCACAGACGAGGTGATATGCTTCGGATCATGAGCAGTTCCTTCCCTTCTCCATACTCTTCTCTTTCCATCATTCTGGTACAAGTTGATCTTTGTCTCATCTGCCCATAGGATGTTGTTCCAGAACTGTACAGGCCTTTTTAGATGTTTTTTTGGCAAACTCTAATCTGGTCTTCCTGTTTTTGAGGCTTACCAATGGTTTACATCTTGTGGTAAACCCTCTGTATTTACTCTGGTGAAGTCTTCTCTTGATTGTTGACTTTGACACAGATACGCCTACCTCCTGGAGGGTGTTCTTGATCTGGCCAACTGTTGTGAAGGGGTTTTTCTTCACCAGGGAAGTAATTATTCTGTCATCCGCCACAGTTGTTTTCTGTGGTCTTCCAGGCCTTTTGGTGTTCCTGAGCTCACCAGTGCGTTCTTTCTTTTTAAGAATGTACCAAATAGTTGATTTGGCCACACCTAATGTTTTTGCTATCTCTCTGATGGGTTTGTTTAGATTTTTCAGCCTAATGATGGCTTGCTTCACTGGCAGTGACAGCTCTTTGGCCTTTATATTGAGGGTTAACAGCAACTGATTCCAAATGCAAATGCCACACTAGAAATCAACTCTAAACCTTTTATCTGCTTACTTGTAGATGAACTAATGAGGGAATAACACACACCTGGCCATGGAACAGCTGAGCAGCCAATTGTCCAATTACTTTTGGTCCCTTAAAAAGGGGGACCACATACAGTGGGGGAAAAAAGTATTTAGTCAGCCACCAATTGTGCAAGTTCTCCCACTTAAAAAGATGAGAGGCCTGTAATTTTCATCATAGGTACACGTCAACTATGACAGACAAAATGAGAAAAACAAATCCAGAAAATGACATTGTAGGATTTGTAATGAATTTATTTGCAAATTATGGTGGATAAGTATTTGGTCAATAACAAAAGTTTCTCAATACTTTGTTATATACCCTTTGTTGGCAATGACACAGGTCAAACGTTTTCTGTAAGTCTTCACAAGGTTTTCACACACTGTTGCTGGTATTTTGGCCCATTCCTCCATGCAGATCTCCTCTAGAGCAGTGATGTTTTGGGGCTGTCGCTGGGCAACACGGACTTTCAACTCCCTCCAAAGATTTTCTATGGGGTTGAGATCTGGAGACTGGCTAGGCCACTCCAGGACCTTGAAATGCTTCTTACGAAGCCACTCCTTCGTTGCCCGGGCGGTGTGTTTGGGATCATTGTCATGCTGAAAGACCCAGCCACGTTTCATCTTCAATGCCCTTGCTGATGGAAGGAGGTTTTCACTCAAAATCTCACGATACATGGCCCCATTCATTCTTTCCTTTACACGGATCAGTCGTCCTGGTCCCTTTGCAGAAAAACAGCCCCAAAGCATGATGTTTCCACCCCCATGCTTCACAGTAGGTATGGTGTTCTTTGGATGCAACTCAGCATTCTTTGTCCTCCAAACACGATGAGTTGAGTTTTTACCAAAAAGTTCTATTTTGGTTTCATCTGACCATATGACATTCTCCCAATCCTCTTCTGGATCATCCAAATGCACTCTAGCAAACTTCAGACGGGCCTGGACATGTACTGGCTTAAGCAGGGGGACACGTCTGGCACTGCAGGATTTGAGTCCCTGGCGGCGTAGTGTGTTACTGATGGTAGGCTTTGTTACTTTGGTCCCAGCTCTCTGCAGGTCATTCACTAGGTCCCCCCGTGTGGTTCTGGGATTTTTGCTCACCGTTCTTGTGATCATTTTGACCCCACGGGGTGAGATCTTGCGTGGAGCCCCAGATCGAGGGAGATTATCAGTGGTCTTGTATGTCTTCCATTTCCTAATAATTGCTCCCACAGTTGATTTCTTCAAACCAAGCTGCTTACCTATTGCAGATTCAGTCTTCCCAGCCTGGTGCAGGTCTACAATGTTGTTTCTGGTGTCCTTTGCCAGCTCTTTGGTCTTGGCCATAGTGGAGTTTGGAGTGTGACTGTTTGAGGTTGTGGACAGGTGTCTTTTATACTGATAACAAGTTCAAACAGGTGCCATTAATACAGGTAACGAGTGGAGGACAGAGGAGCCTCTTAAAGAAGAAGTTACAGGTCTGTGAGAGCCAGAAATCTTGCTTGTTTGTAGGTGACCAAATACTTAATTTCCACCATAATTTGCAAATAAATTCATTAAAAATCCTACAATGTGATTTTCTGGAGAACATTTTTTCTCAATTTGTCTGTCATAGTTGACGTGTACCTATGATGAAAATGACAGGCCTCTCTCATCTTTTTAAGTGGGAGAACTTGCACAATTGGTGGCTGACTAAATACTTTTTTCCCCCACTGTATAAAAAGTGCTGTAATTCCTACACCGTTCACCCGATTTAGATGTAAATACCCTCAAATTAAAGCTGAAAGTCTGCACTTTCAGCTCATATTCATTATTTAATTTCAACTCCAATATGCTGTGGTAGACAGCTAAAATAATAATAACCTGGTCAATGTCCAAATATTTATGGACCTGACTGTACATTATAACTTAAAGTTATGGGCCCGGTTGCATAAAACATCTTAAGTGTTTCCCTTAAGGAATAATTTTCCCTTACCTAAAGGAATTGTTCAAGGGCATTGCATAGAGCGCCTCAAAAATGTCCTTAGGTAAGGGCATACTTAAGGGGTTTTACGGGAGTTTTAAGGCATGTATGGCAGAAAGAGTATCTGGTTACCATGGAGATGGCATGGTTTACTGACTCTTCAAAGAGATCGCTTTCATTTTGTGAGATGGCAAAATAGAACTTCTACAATCAAGACAGGATAACCAAATTGCTTCAGAAGATAATAAACCACTTTTCTTGTAGTTACTTTTTTCTCAACTTGTTTATATTACTTTCTATTATGTCAAGCTAGTGTACAGAGTAGCAATAGCTAACTAGCCAGCTAGCTTTGTAGCCATGGATTTTGCACCTTCCATTGTTTAGCTAAGTAGCTAGCTGGTTGATGTTCAAACTTTTCTAACCAGAGCAGATGAAAGCAACATTCACATCCACAAATGCTGTTTACATTGATATCCATACTGAATGAAGCGGTTAAGGGACCTAGTGGGCACCCTTAACTTTTTCACTTAATTTAAGGGGGAAATTCACCTTAAAATGTTTTGTGCAACTGACTTAAAGTTAAGGAAATGTTAAGGGGAAAGTTAACTTAAGGTGTTTTATGCAACCAGGTCCTGATCCTCCTTTGGTTACATTTGGTAACATCCCTTGGTAACGTAAGGTTGATATATGGTATGTGTCGATGCTGACCAAAGAATGTTACGTCATTCAAAGCCAACTAACACTGCTTTGCCTATAGAATGATATGGGTTGGACGTTGCGTCACAATACTGTTTTGAATGTTTGTTTTAGGACTGATGAAGATTTTATCAAAAGTGCATTACTGTGGCTTCAAAACATGATGACATTTCTAAAGAAGGCAAATAATTAGTAGGAAAACCTAGATGCAGTATAACATTAGCTAGCTAGCTAAGATTGAGGGGAGATCTCCATATTTTATCTAGCTAACGTTAGCATTGCTAGCTGTTTTTGAGAGCTATTTTTCTAGCATTTTTTTTTACTTCTGCTGCTACTATGATCTTTATTTTACTCTTATCTATCCGGATATCTAGTCACATTACCCTGCCTTCATGTACATATCTACCTCAAGGACCTCATACCTCTGCACATTGATCTGGTACTGGTACTCCCTGTATATAGTTCCATTGTTTCATGTTTTGTGTGGACCCCATGAAGGGCAGCTGCTGATTTTCGCAACAGCTAATGGGGATCCTAATAAAATACCAAATACCATTCTTGTGTATTTTATTTTATTCCTCGTGTTAGTTACTAGTTTATTTTTTTATATACTTTTTAAATGGGAAAGGTTCGTAAGCAAGCATTTCACTATAAAATCTACACCAGTTGTATTCGGGGGCATGTGATGGAAATAAAATTTGATTTGACGAACTTTGCTAGCTAATGACAACATTGTCATCTGTCAACATAATGATGATGGCAAAAATGTTTACTACTAAATACTCTGTGTACTTTAGCAATGTCATCATATTCCCAAGCCCCCATAGTGTAATTTAGACAACAGTCATTAGCCCCTGTTCTACTTTTGAGCATCAGTATGGGTGTCTGTAGAACGTTGACAACAATGGCAATGACGCGACCGAGTGACGGAGGTGCAACCCATGAATTTAGAGATCTTCATGGTTCCAACAGACCCGAAATTCCGAGATCCGACCCGAGCAGTTCCGTGTCCTAAACTCAGACTTTTGTCTCGGATCTGGGACGGGTCTGATTATAATTGCTACGGGTCTCGTGTATGTGCAATTAAAATTGAGTTACCGACTGGGCCCGATTGGACCCGTCCTCTGTTAATTTAATATGTGTGAGGTGATGAGAACTGCATTAGCTGAATTATCTGTGTCAGCCAAATGCAATAAAACGTGTAGCTTATGTCCGGCTGCTCACCTCACGTGCGCCTGCTTTTAAATATTAATATCATACAGTGGACACCTAGGCTTATGTGCATGCAATGCCCTAATGCATTTAGCGCTCAAATATCTGACAGCTGAACTGTGAGGTGGGCAATTATTGTTTTAGGAAAGTAAAAACCATTAAAACAAAAGGCGATAATGTTTTGAATATGCTACACATCGAAAGACAATTAATAGTTTTTTTGTAATTTGTTATAGGCTGTTTTTAAGGACATTTGGCCAATATCGCTTGTTTATTGATGGCGCTGGCAGCACCCAGTCGGTATCCTTTTCTCTCTTTCTACTCTCGGATCTGCATGGGTATCTCGGATCTCAACCAGCACGGATCTGCTTTGGTGTGTTTTTTCAAGGGCCTTTTCGGAACGGGTCTGACTGTCCTAGGGTCAATTCGGAACGGGTCTCCGTTTAAAAAATATATAATTTATGCATATCGGGTCGGGTGAGAACCTAGGAAGGGGTTCAACTTTTTGCACCCTCGAAGACCTCTGCCATGAATAATCTACTTTGTAACCCACTTTGTAAAATTTACTTTTCTGCAAAAGGAGACACCTGAACATCTGCATAGAGCAGCAGAGGTGAACCTTGTGCATCACCTAAAGAAACTGGAGAAGGAGGAGAAGATAACTGTTGGTATGTCTTAATTTCACTTACATTATGTTACACCATTCAGTTAATGTATTACCATTTTCAAGTAGTAAAACATTTTTAATTTACTATTTTTCTTTCAGCTAGTGATGATTCTTCTCACACCAACAAATGGAAGAGTAATTTGTGATAGATTATTTAATCAGGTTTATCTGTTGGAAAATTACATCCCTAACAAAGACCCATGCGATCTTGGATTCGAATGATTTACATTTCCCTGTTGAATACACAACTGAGCTTGATTTGACGTGAAGTAAAGAGTATTTGCATGAATCTTACTTTGTCATTCTTTATAGCACTGAAATTATTTACTGTCTGTACTTTATGTCTGAAGACAGCCCAAGGAGTGATTTTAAAATGTGGCACATCAATGTAGGGAGCTGCAAATGCACTGGTGGGTACCACTCATTTATACCCCTCATTCATTGGCAGGTAGCCTCAAGTTTAGTGGGTTGGGCCAGTGGTTTGAAATCCCGGAGCCAACAAGTTAAAAAATCTTGCTGTGCCCTTGAGCAAGGCACTTAACCCCAATTGCTCCATTGGTGACCCTGGCCGTGACCCCAATTCCTGTGGCAGCTCAGGGGGAGTTGGGATATGCAAGAAACACATTTCCATTACAAACTTATACAAGTGTGTAACAGGACAAATATAAGCAGCCCCGCAATTATTATTATTGCTAATATGCTGACATTTGGTGCATTATGAGTTGAACTGCTTTCAGAATGTTACTGTGGGCAGCTTAACTCTGATAAACTAGGATAAAGCACCAAGATAAAGCACACATTTAAACCCTGTGAAGTGTTCTTATTGTTATTTTCTTATTGAGAAACCAAGATTTAACAGATTTTTATATTGAGAAACCCAGATCAAACTGTATGAATCTATAATGTTAAATGTACAGATGCCTTCTAATAAATACATTGTTTTTCAATATAGAACAAACCGGTACTGAAAGTTATCATTTTATCATTCATATCCATTCACTGCCTTTGCTGATTGTGCAATAATATATACAAACAATTATTTTGGGGCAATGATCAATGCTAATACCCAAAGCCACTGATTATACCAAGAAATCCTCACTAGGTGGCAGTGTTTATCAAGGAGAGGCAATAACTGAACTGTGGACAATGAGGAGGGGAGTAGAATGTCAGCCCATAATAGCATCGATTTTGTATTTAGGCCACAAGCAGAGAACCACTCAACAAAAGATATTGCCAATTGCTATCCACGGGTCTTTGCTCTTCAATATACAATACTGATTTGGGATTTTAAGAATGTAATAGGCAACTAAATACATGTTTTTGTTGCCTGGCCTCCGCCCTATGAACTGTCTGTAACTAGATCCCCTGAAATCCTTCTAAGTAAATATATTTACAGGGTATAAAAAAGGATATGAAATAGAGCTAAAAAGCTTGAAAGACAACGCATAACATTAGGCAGATATGGCTACATTAGTTTATCTTTCCATATGCGCAAAACCTTTCCCTTGCTCAAACAGTGTCAATTTAATGGAGGAACATTAAACATTTATTTTATCAACAGCAGGTGTGGCCAATTACTGAGTGTGGCTATGTGGCCACTATAGGCAGACATGGGTGAAGTAATTAGTGTAATCAGTTCTAGCCCATGGAGGGTTTAACAGAGGATATGATTTGTGAGCAGGTCAAACGTTTGAACATCTGCCTGAGACATTTTGACAGTGCCATAGAGGCAAAATCTTACTGTGTTTGTGTGGCGGCTTGTTAATTGACTTATCAAATACAAACCTGAATAATTTTTACTCAAATTAAAATGAATTTAGGCCTAAGTAAAAGGGTGTTTACTATTTAGTAGACTGGGCTACATTTTAAAGACTTCATACTGTCATGTTTAATTATTTTAGTAAACAAGGAAGAAATATGACAACCTATTGAAGTTAAAAATACAGTGTAAACATCCTCATTAGTTGTGGTTAACAAACTTTAACCGGGCATTCATTGCATTGTGTCTGGCTTTTAGCTGCTATGGCTGGCTGCAGTGTCATCATTCTTGCCGTCTGTCCTGTGAGCAGTAAAGTCTATTGTGGTAATGAGTGCTGATGCCCTGCGCGTGTGGGGGAGGACTACTGGTAAGATAAACAAGCACCCAGTCATCGCAGAGAAACATGGCGGCAGAGCTGTTACATTGCCGTTTCCCGATTTCGAAGTTCCTCACATAGCAGTTTGCATTTATGGGATTTCAAGTTACGGTAAGTTGAGAGTAACTTACAATGGATGTGTTTTGTAGTGAAGAAGTATGTTTTTGTGCAGTTAGATAAAATATATGGTCGGCTATTGAATCCGTAATGTCAGTTTAGTCTTAGCACTGGGAAGCGGCGTTGTCGCTTGTTATCTGAAGCGAGATATTTCTTTAGATGGTTCGGGGATGACTCCTACACTAGACCTAGTTTTGGTGTGAAGCGTTGCTAAGAATTCAATGAAGTTGAACTTCAAATGTGTTTACGAAGTAATTTAAATCAAAATTGTTTTGGTTTGTAAGTACATAGTCTGTGTGAGTTTCAAATAGAAAATTGGATTTCTATTTGGCAGATTAATTTGAAGATATTGAAAGACATGCCGATAGCGAACATGATGGTAAACTGCACATAGCTTGAGGTTTCTGCATCATGCAAAAGAGCTTATTGAAACCAAAAGAACAGCTGTGGTTGAAGAACCGAACGTCACTGTGGTTTACGAGTTCAAGTAGGAAATCCTCAGCAAGTTCGGAACCACATTTTCGATTGTTATTCAGTCTCATCAACTGTGTAACAATTATAAACGCATGGGATCTGAAAGGTGTAACATTGAGGTATGAGATCATTAAAACAAATGCACTTTAACTGTTCATCAACCTTTGACAGTGACGTCATATGGCGAACTTAATATAACAAGTGTTCCCACCATAGTTAGTTGTAAGTGACACAGTTCTTAAACAAAACTCGTTTGGCAATGAGATATTATAACCTAAGTGTTGATGGTTTGAGTGACTATCACCAGTAGTCACTCAACAGTTAAAACAAATATCTCAATCAGTCTTATTTTATTGCTTGCCTTGTGAGAATCTGTGTTACTGTGTATGAGTGAATAATTTTTGGAATTGCTAGTAAAAAGTGTGAGGAGCATGGAATAATGGCTCCAAAATCAAGTACAGTTAACATTGAGCAGGGCCAGTGGGCCACCAATAAATTGGCCTGAAGAAGGTTGACCAAATGGCAGGTGCATGTTATCTAAAGTGAAATCTCACCTAATTAGTCAAAGTGCAATTAGTTTAAATATAAAGATTGGGTGTAAAAAAACTGGATCTAGACTTGTTGGTAGAGAATAGTGAACTAGTGGTCTTTTTTGGCCCTTTAAAGACTATTTGTTCTCTGCTGCCATATTACAGAGTAGTGTACTTTGAAAGGTATTGCATTACACAGCAGCATTTCTTGTTCTTTGTCTTTCCCTCTTTTCCTTATTAAATGCATGAATGTTACATGAAAACGGAACTTCGTTGACAGAGATAACAAGCAACTTAATATAATTTTTAGTTTTAGAAAATATTGTTATTTTGAATATCTTATTTTGCTTATAATTTTAGAGCCTTTTTTAGCCCTATCATTTGCCATATTTAATAGGCTATGCTGAAGGCTTGGCGTGCTTCTAACACACAGTGCATTACAGTACACAGTAAGGGATTTAGAAGGGATGCCATTGCATTGCTGTACACATTAAGAGCCTGGATCTTAACATGAGTTTGGCAGCTTTCCCAAAGAGTGATCCTTCGGTTGCATTTACACAGGAAGCCCAATTCTGATATTTTTTTCACTACTTTGTCTTTTGACCAGTCACATCCGCTCTGAAAAAGCCCTGATGTGAAAAGATCTGAAGTGATTGGTCAAAAGACCAATTAGTGGAAAATATATTAGAATTTGGCTGCCTATGTAAATGCAGACATAGTGGCTTGGAATCAGCATACCATGTGAGCAATATAATAATGCCTGGACCAATGGCAGAGGAGCGGGATGAAGCTTGGGACTTGACAGGGTAGTTTTTCTCTAGCAGGTTTCTACAGGCTTAAAGGCCCAGTGCAGTCAAAATGCAGTTTTTCCTTTCCTAAAAGTATGAAAATGTATGTGTTATTTAATGATAGTTACTGGTTGAAAATACAAGCTACACAGGATCTTCTAATCAGCAGGGTTTGCATTGGTGGAGTTTCTGCTTGCCTGGTGACATCACCAGGCGGTAAGTTAGTTAATAGACCGATAACAAAGATAATTCCAAACCTCTCTGCCAATAGGCCTAACAGCTAGTTTTCTCCTCCCCACTCAGACCACTCCCAGACAGTCCTAGCAAAATTCGGGGGGGGGGGGGACTTTTTAAAAGGATGTTCTACTCCAAAATGAATGCAAATAAAACTATGCTGACACCATTTAAAATATAATTTCTACCTCCCAGAAATGAGCCCAATAACAGGCTAGTGGTAAAATGATTTGTTTCAATTATTTTAACGTATTGGACCATGCATATAGCCTATGCATGGTCCATATTATCAGGTATGCTATTAGCAATAAGCATAATCACCTGTAGCACAACTGATGCAGCATAGTGGCTATAAATAAATAGGCTGAAGAATTGGGTTGCCCATCTGCATTTACCTTATTGGGCTAATCATCTAGATTCAAAATGTGATCTTTTAACTACACTGAACAAAAATATATACCCAACATGCAATCATTTCAAAGATTTTACTGAGTTACAGTTCATATAAGAAAATCAGGCAATTGAAATACATTCATTAGGCCCTAATCTATGGATTTCACATGACTGGGAATGCAGATATGCATCTGTTGGCCAAAGATACCTTAAAAAAAAAAAGTAGGGGTGGGGATCAGAACCAGTCAGTATCTGGTGTGACCACCATTTGCCTCATACAACGCGACACATCTCCGTCGCCTAAAGTTGATCCGACTTGATTATGGCCTGTGGAATGTTGTCCCACTCCTCTTCAATGGCTGTGCGAAGTTGCTGGATATTAGTGGGAATTGGAACACGCTGTCGTACACGTTGATCCAGAGCATCCCAAACAGGCTCAATGGGTGACATGTCTCGTGAGTATGTAGGCCATAGA